GATAAACTGATAACGAAGAATCTAGAGAATCTTGAACTATTTAAAAAACCGATTTAATTTAAGTAAATATGTCAACGAAGCTGCTTCTATTAGAAACTGAAACAACTATTTTTTCTTCAAAGATTCTTGGAGAAAAAATTCGACTTGGATAGGTAGGAAGTGATTTTAACTAACCAGTTAAAACTGGCAATTTGTTGGTTAATTTAAATTTTATTTTTGGGATTCTACATTTTATCAGGACGATTCTGAAATAATGTATACTTATAGCCAAAGATCTGTAGTCGTGCATTTTTATTATTTTATGCAATATTTGAAATAATTATGGAAACAGTGAATAATATGGCATAAAATGCAAATGTTATGGGATTATTCCTGCTGTATTTTATTGAAATGAATTGCACCAGACTGCAGTCACGTGTTGATAATTTACAATGTAATTAACTGTCATCCAACCAATCAGACAGTGCCACATCAGCACAATGCTTGTGAAAATACGGGTAGTCATATTATTTCCAGTAGTAATGAAGTTAATAGACTTATGTCTCCCAGAAGAAAAATGCTACATGACAAACTTGTATAAATCAAAGTTTTGGCTGATGAAGGAGAAAATTAATTTTTCAATAGGAGTTATATGTTATTTCTGAAGAGGGTGAGTGAAACTAGTACTTGTGATAATACGAGCAGTAAAAGTAGGAAATCCAAACTTTTCAAAAGCTATATAAAGTTACTTAGGATATGCCGTTTACATGATACACGACAATCCAGCAGAGATGTGAATGTTTCCTCCAGAAGATTAAGATACACATTACCATGAAGAGGCTACAGTAGATGTATAGGTGCCCAAAAACACTGCTTAGAAAATATAAACAAAATGGCTGAAATGGACAGCGAGGAGAACTGTATTGCAGTCAACAAACGACATCTGCACTTAGACATATTGGGGAATCAATACAAACGTGAGCTGCATTTCAGGAAATGATGTTGGAAATATACACAACATTGATGGTACCCTGACTACTGACAGGCACAAGCAAATTTTTATCCACCATATCAATCCCCCAGGAACAATACAAAGCCTGTTAAGCAGGAATTCATCTTCCAGTAAGACAGTGATCCCAAATATGCAGCAACTGTGGTGAAAGGATACATGGAAGGAAAGAGGCCAATGAAATAATTTCAACCATGGACCTGTATAAAGTTCTGATATGAATATTATCAATATCATATGGGCTTAGATGAAAATTGAGAGAACAAATATCAGCCAAACAACTTGGTTGGATTGTGGGAATAACGCAGTACATTTGGAACAATATTTCATAATCATACATTTTTTAAACTTACGCTAACATAAAAACAAATAATATTGTTCTGTTTAAAGCAAATGTGAAATACTAGTCATTGTACAACTTGTCGCTTTTCTTTGATAATATATTGCAGTTATGACAGAATGACTATTTAGTTGCAATTGCTTATAGCTTGTTGCTACTTTATGTGTATCTTATACATGTTTCGATAATTTTTCCCAATACTATATATTTATTGCTTGCCTTTTTCCGCTGTTTTTAATTCCTTTTCTTTAATTATTATCACTATTATATATTACTAGCAAATTTCTTATCTTAGTTCAGTGAAAACTAAATTATTCTTAATTATTAGTCTGTTGACAATACTTTATAAAGCAAGAAAAAACCCCACAAAAAACAGAGTGTGAACGTAAAGAAACAACCTTCGGGTTATACAATTTAAGTTAAGAGTGATACTATTATGTTGATGAAACTATATATTGCGTTTTGCCCTCCTTATGAAACGTGTTTGATTGGATAATTGTATTGTTAGATTAAGAGCGGTATTCATATGAATGATTAATCTATATACTGAGCTATGCCATATTCATGAATGGTGCTTCATTGGTTAATGGTATTCTTAGATTAAGAATGGTATTGATATGATTGAATAATCTATATACTGACTATCTATGCATCCTTTATGAAAGGTGTTTTGTGTTATTACACAGCCAGAGTGAGATATACTACCTACAAAACCACTCTGTTGCATTATAAATACTCAATGAAAACTTAATAGTTTCTACTAAATGAACAGTGCTCGGTTTACATTACTCTGCATTAATCACTTTGAGAAAAAAAATCTAGTTTTAACAAGTTCATAGTGATATGATTTTCAAGTCACAGGTTTAACGTTTTCACTATGCTTTTCTTTTCCTAAGCTTATTTTTTATGTATATATATATATATGAGTTTTGCAAATGTAACAGCGAAGATAATAACTTATTAATTTAGGCTTAAGATAACTTATAAGATAAATAACCTGCGTGCCACTCTTTGAGTAGAGAACGTCTTCTTTGTTATAGTAGTCATGGTTTAATTAAAATTGTGATGAAAAGTACAAGAATATGAACAGTTCATTTAACTCATTAATTTAACGAGTGGCGTTTATCACACTATCTAATGAGTTTACGTTGTTGTTTGTTCTATAATTTTTTTTTTCGGGGAAGGTACAGTGGAGGAAATTAATTTGTGATACCGGTGATATAACAACAAGCTGGTTCTTTAAGTGTTTCAGGAGAAGGTTATGTGAAGTCTCAATATCAACATATGAAGATACAGATTTTCCCACTAAAGTCTGGTGGTTGTCTTTATGTTACATAGACCTGCGATGGTTTTATTCTCTTGAAATTTTTAAAAGTTCTACAGTAATTCCTGTACACTGAATCCGAAAATGATGTCCATTTTTCTCCATCATGTACAGATTTTTCACAAAACGTCAAAACGCAATACATAAAACAAAGACCACAACACGTAGTTTTGAGACTAAAAGACATAGATTTCACACAAAAAATCAGGATGAATGAGGATGCAAATTCGTTTGACATCAATGTTCTTTCCTTCTCTTCAGTTTGTATTTTTTTAACAAACATGATAATAAAAATGTTCATTGTGGTAAACGAAATAATAATTTGATCTAAGTACGTTTTTGTAAACTCCCGATTTGTAAAAAAAAATCCTTACATGATAGAATTTTTTTTTTATATTATTTTCGAAATCTGCGTAGATGAATTATGGAAAATCCGTTATTAAAACCCAAATGACTTTTATGAAGTTTGAATTCGCAGGCCTGTGTACTAAACCGCTTAAACAACGATATACAATTTTCCGGATTTCCCATTTCCTTTTGAAATAATAATGGTAAATCAACTTTCTTAATATTTTCACAGCTTTTTCAGTTGTTTCGAATTTCTGAGAATGTCAAAAACTAGTGTAACTGTTATTTGTCTGCATTATTTTAACTAAAGTCGAATTAGAGGAGACTGTTAATATACGTGATATTTGTTAAATGACTATATTATTTTTATGTCTTTTTTACTTGTTTCGAATCAATATGTAAGGTAATTGTTACCTGTCTGTGTTATTTTTATATATTTCTATTTATTTCGAATCAGTCTGATTGAAATATAAGTAATGTAATCACTACTTGTATGTACTATTGTTCTACCTTTTTTACTTCATTAAATCAGTCTGATTGTCAGTATATAATGAAATTATTACTTGTATGTACTATTGTTCTACCTTTTTTACTTCATTAAATCAGTCTGATTGTCAGTATATAATGGAATTATTACTTGTATGCACTATTGTTCTACCTTTTTATTTCATTAAATCAGTCTGATTGTCAGTATATAATGGAATTATTACTTGTATGCACTATTGTTCTACCTTTTTATTTCATTAAATCAGTCTGATTGTCAGTATATAATGGAATTATTGCTTGCATGCATTATTGTTCTACCTTTTTTTACTTGTTTCAAACGAGTCATCTTCGTAAAACGCAACGTAACTGTTATTTATCTGCGTTAGTTTTATATTGTTTCGAACCAGTAAGTTCAAAATATAATGCGACTGTTGTTTAAGTCGTCTACGTTTGTGAACACGAAAATATGCGCGTAAAATAAACTTCAGAAATACGCCATTTTGGTTCCGCTACTTCTGTTTTTACTCTTAGAACTGTAAACACCTTTTTACTGTATAAACACACCCTTAATATAATGAGAATATATATATAGATAAAAACCTAAACCTAATTTTGTTTACATTTTGTGCGCGTGACTTACACGTAACCTACAAAATAATGTACCGAATAGCAATGTGGTACATGAATACTTTAGAAAATGTATAAACAAAACAAAACAATGGGTACTGGTCTCAATCGGTGGTTCTAGTGTGATATATCAATAAAGTTAAGACTTTTGGAGCAGACATGTAGCTTTTACGTCAGATCTTAGTCAAATGTCTTTAATCTTTAACGTTTGCAAATCAAATATTTCTTATATAAATATGAACACTCAACACCATGTTTAAGTCAATAATACAATATATTTCAATCAATAAATGAGATAAGTTACACATTTATTACATCAATTACAATGGTTAATTAATCTCCAGTACACTTAAGAAAACAAGGTAGTAACCGAGATGACATAAATATACTAGTTATATAAATCTATTAATAAATATCAGTCAGTGAGAAGTTACAGTTATTACTGACATCTTTCACATCGAGTAGAGTTGAACTGAACATACAACTCTATTAATAAATACTAATCAGTGAAAAGATAAATCTCTTTCTATCACTTAATACTCACAGGTTTCACAACGAGTACAAATGAATTGAAGATATAACTCTGTTAATACATATCAGTTGGTGAAAAGTTAGAAGTACTACTGACATGTTTTATAACGAGTAGAGCTGAACATATAACTCTGTTAATACACATCAGTTGGTGAAAAGTTAGAAGTACTACTGACATGTTTTATAACGAGTAGAGCTGAACATATAACTCTGTTAATACACATCAGTTGGTGAAAAGTTAGAAGTACTACTGACAAGTTTTACAACGAGTAGAGCTGAACATATAACTATTAATGATAGCTGTGATATAAACAGAGACAATAGTTTTCAACTATTTTACTTCTTCCATGCTTAACGTAAAATATCCAATATAGTTAAGAAAACAGCAAATTGATTGGCTAGTAGTAAAGTAGCCAACTTAGTTAAGAAAGCAGCAAATTGATTGGCTAGTAGTAAAGTAGCCAACTTAGTTAAGAAAGCAGCAAATTAGTTGGCTAGTAGTAAGGGCTTTCTTAACTAAGTTGGCTAAGCAGATTGATTGGACAGTAGAAGAATATATTGACTCAAGACAGGATAACAACAACAACAACAAAAAAAAACAATAATGGCGATGTTTTCAGCTCTGAAATATTACACTCAGTATTGATTTCTCTTATTATCTCAACTATTTATAGTGAAATACTGGTTTTAACGGTTACACTGTCTTTACTATATTCTAGCTGAATTTATTAAGTATTGTAACACGATATGCCGTGCCTCGTAAAACTAGAGCTTTTACAATAACTTAGTAAAACCTAGCCGCATTTCAAAGACTTTATTCATCTGTATAGTATTACATGGAAATTATATTCAAAACATATATGTTGCAAATAACCACACTGCAAACAGCACTGTTTAATTGATGGCACCTAAAATTATCTTAACTGCGGGCATTTGAATAGTTTGAAAATATACGTATTGAGATATGAGCAACAAATCCGACTTTGCCTTTTCTCTTACTGTTACTTTTCGTTCCTATGCTTCTTGATGTCTAGTATCGTTGGTTTGAATGGCTAATCTGGTTGATTTGAACGGATATTAGATAAAAAAAAAACTAAACATTTCTTTGAAACATGCTAAATAAATTCACTACCATGTTGTCCTTTTATCAAATTCTGGAAAGTTAGAGTGCTACCCGGTAGTATTGTTTTCAAGTTTTGTTAACCTGTAGTATTGTGTATTGCTTTCAAGTTTTGTTAACCTGTAGTATTGTGTATTGTTTTCAAGTTTTGTTAACCTGTAGTATTGTGTATTGTTTCCATGTTTTGTTAACCTGTAGTATTGTGTATTGTTTCCAATTTTTGTTAACCTGTAGTATTGTGTATTGTTTCCATGTTTTGTTAACCTGTAGTATTGTGTATTGTTTCCAAGTTTTGTTAACCTGTAGTATTATGTATTGTTTCCAAGTTTTGTTAACCTGTAGTATTGTGTATTGTTTCCAAGTTTCGTTGACCTGTAGTATTGTGTATTGTTTCCAATTTCTGTTAATCTGTAGTATTGTGTATTGTTTCCAAGTTTTGTTAACCTGTAGTATTGTGTATTGTTTCCAAGTTTTGTTAACCTATTGTGAGATGTTTTCAATTTTCATGGTAAACTGTCAGAATCACTTATTTGATTATAAAGAATACCTAACTTTCTGTCTAACCTCTTCTGAGAGTGATGTAGAAGATATTTCCTGTAGGACAATATTTAGAGTGTACTGAATAATGATATAATAAGTGTCTGAAATGTTTAAGGACAAAAAAAGTTGAGCTCACAACAAATAGTCCCTTATTAGCTCTTCAGTGAAAAAAAAAATACAACTATAATTTACATTTGAGTAATGCCGTAAAGAGAGCGAGTGAGCTTGTGGCTTTAACATAACTTTTTGACATGTGCTTAGAGAAATATGCATGTAATTAACAGTGTAATTTCTGCAAACCAGCGTTCTCGAATATCTAAGACTGGAATCATTGTTTCCGGTTAATGAGAGTATAAAGAATTTTGATTTTTTTGTTTACAAAGAGACTAAATGTTTTAGACAAAATAATACTCTTCATATTGTTCTCCGAGGGTGGAATGATCGCAGGGGACTGACAGTGTATTTACTTGACTAACATCATGTACATCTTGTTAGGCCCGGCATGGCCAGGTGGTTAGGGCGCTCGACTCGCAATCTGCGGGTTCGAATCCCCATCATACCAAACATGCTCGACCTTTCAGCCGCAACAAACAAACAAACATCTCGTTAAGTAACTGATAAAACGCCCTTATAAGTGTTTTAACATTTATTCCGAAAACGCATTTCAAAACTTGAATATTTCTTAAAATGTATCAATTACTTTATTTTGTGGCAATGTCAAACATCGCATCACTTAGTAGAGTTGGATGCCTCTATTGAAGTTATTTACGCTATTACAGAAGAATCCACTAATGAATTCACTTAAGAGTTTATTATAAAAGAGCCCTCTGTTGAACCCATTGAAGAGCCTTCTATTAGAACTCACTTAAGGATTAAGTACAGCTAAGCCTATATAAAATAATTTAAGGGCTAGACTCCCAAAGAGGATTGTGATCTCAACTAAAGTGGCAATGAGCTACTACTAATAATGATTGAACTACTCCAAACATTTCTTAGTTACAAAACTAAAAGGTACACATTATATAAGAATTGATACACTTTTGAAATACAGACGGACACATTACAATGAAATTACTTCAAATATATATATTAAACCTATCATTAGTCTTCCAATTCTTCACCATTTCCAGCAGCTTCTGTCTGTCCTCAGTATCAATTATCAAGGATACATATCAACATTTGTATTAGCTAAACCATTTAATAATAGTAATGAGTTAATGTTTCAAAGGCATTAACTATACATTAGTAGAGCTTGATTCAAAGTTATCAAGTTCATATTGGCTGAACTTGCTTCAAAGGTATCAGCTTCATAGTAGCAGAACTTGATTTAAAGGTATCAACCAAATATTAGTAGAGCTTGATTCAAAGGTATCAAGTTCATATTGGTTGAACTTGCTTCAAAGGTATCAGCTTCATAGTAGCAGAGCTTGATTTAAAGGTATCAAATTCATACTAAAAAAGCTTGATTCAAAGGTATCCATTTCATATTGGTTGAACTTGCTTCAAAGATATCACCTCATAGTAGCAGAACTTGATTCAATGCATCAACTTCATAGTAGCAGAGCTTGATTTAAAGGTATCAAATTCATACTACAAAAGCTTGACTCAAAGGTGTGATTTTATATTGGCAGAATATAGTTAACCTGGGATTATACTGTCTTTTAAGGATATGTCTCAATAATGCATTCTTGTCATCAACGAAGACGAAAACACTCGTATCATAATGTTCAAAATTCGGTTATTTGTATATATCGTTCAAACCATCCCAAGACACTTTCAACGTGTTTCTGATTCTAATGCTTTTACAGAAAAAAAATGTTTTTTTAGTTGATATAAATACAGTTGTTAAATTTATTTGTCACAATAAAGATATCTAAGTTCAAGGAAGGGCTCTTAGGGATCAAATTGTAATAGCAGTAACGTAAGTTGATATATGTGTTTAGTTCTCCAAATAAAGTACAGTTGTGAAAGCAAAGGAGTTTATAACATATTCGTACTTCAGACATCATTCTTGTGATATTTTGATATATACATGGTCTTCAAAACATCGAATAAAAATAAAACAACGTCTCCCCTGTTAATCAAGCATTATATTACATAAACATAAAATACCACGCTCCGCTGCTGGGTTCAAAGGGCCCCCTCTTGATTTAAAACGTCTCTAGTGTACCGATCAAGTTCCTCCATTACCCTCAATTACTTCTACAGCTTCTCAAAATAAAAAAAAATAATTCGTTAGGACCCCCGCCTGTAGTACCGGAGCACGTGTGCAAATTTTGGTCTCGCTAGCTTGTGTATGGGGAATACGAACACAGTTCCAAATACGGCGATCCTGGAATCACTGGCAACGGATTAAATGACCCGAAAACCTCCTCCTAAATTTCCTCATGGCTGGGTGACCTTCCTTCGCGTTTTAAACCCTCTTTGTTGGGGGCTACGCCATGTAGGCAAGTACATCTCCCAGCACATTCAAAGTTCACTTGCCAAGTTTGGTTCTGCTAGTTCCAAAACGGTCAAAGAAACTAGCACACTACGCGAATTAATATAGGATAATAAAGCCGATAACCAATACTTTTACGACATCGATTTCACACACAAGATTTACTTGTTTGCCTTCAGAAATGTGAAATATTATCAAATGTTTAAAACACGAGAATCCATATTCACGTACAATATGTAATTACTAGTAACGCAAGAAAAGTTTATGGAGAAGTTTGTGACAATAAAAATTTAGTTAGTACACTACAACAATACACGCCACTGTCAGGAAGCTAATACGATTCAGAGACTGAACACGTCAGAACGCTAACAGGCCAGCAGGGTTTGTACTGCTCGATAAATACTGCCGCAACAACTACAATTACCACAATTAGCAATAACACTATAATATCAAGAAGATCAGTGTTCACAGTGTTATACAGGTCAAACGTGATATCACTCCGTTTGGCACACAAAATTACCAAAACACCAAACCAGTAATGTTAATGGTTCATTTATGAAGAAAATTATTAGAATCGTGAACTTAGATTCTACAGAGTACAAGATATTTTAAAGCGACCAACACCTGTTAAAGATCTGAAGATATCAAATGATACTGCACTTCAAAAAAAAAGTTGTAGGAAACATTTTTAGTCTTTACAGAAGATGCCAATTAATTACTTGAAGTGACGCAACTGGCGTGTACAGATCATAAAACATGCACGTGTTTTATGTACCATCTCTCATTCTCACCTTCCTAATTATAGCGAAACATAAACGTGGGTTTTACTTCATTTGAAACTCTGCGCTACCATTATTGACACACGCGATATTTGATCTACTGCCTTCTGTGATATACGTAACTTGTGTAGTTGTAGATATTCTGGGATTTCGGGAAGCGTTGTGGTGGCACGCGGTACTTCCTTCCAAACTTCTTTTGAGTTTAAACCGGTGATACGATCTCTTCAATAGACACTGTACCTATAGAAAGAACAAAACAAAAGAACAGAGATTTGTGTTGTAAAACTTGAAACATATCGTTTTAAAACAATCACCAAAATATTACATATTTAATATTTCCCGACAGAAGAGTTTTGGAGGGGTAAAGTGAAATCATCTTTTTTCCTCAGACTAATCCAATGATTAGAAGATTAATTCTTACCGCCCGAATTACTTGAACGGCGGTATATGTTTCCGTAATTTTGTTTCTATTGTGAAATAACTGTAGCTTGGATTTTAATCTGAGGCATAAGTTCATTTTTACCCATTCCTCTTATAACAAAATTGGTAGCATGCTCAAACGTCAATGTGAGTGGTCTGATTTTTCATGAATGTATTTTAGTTTATGTTCTTTTTAAACTGAACTTCAACAGTAAGCATCACAAGAACATCAAACATATAAAGAAAAGAAAAACAAAACACAAAACTGAGTGAAAGACGTGGCGAAGCGACATCTTATCAAATGCACTAAACATCAAACATATAACACAAGCAAGACCTGATCAAGCATAAAAATCGGTCCTATCACATACACTTAGGGCACTCAGCTATTACCACGAGGAGGAAGTTCACTCATACAGATCTGAGAGCGATTGGAGCGCCGCCGTTCGGACGACCGGGAAAGCTTTTGTCGTAGCCTGTACCGTTCAACAGTTCGACACAATAGGGAATGGATCTGTAGAGAAAAGGGGTAGAACACAAACAAAAACTCCACAAAAGCTAAAAGACTATGTTGTACGCTCAAACAATAAAATACTTTAGTAACAACTAAGATTTTTAGATTACACAGAATTAGTAAAGGCAACATTATCATACCTTCCTTTGGTTTGTTTATTTATTTAGAGTTTTTGCGCAAAGCTACACAAAGGCTACCTGCGCTAGGTGTCCCTTATTTAGAACTGAAAGAACTAGAGGGATTTCAAGTCAACAGCACCTTCCCTCCCCACCAACTTTTGAGCCATTCTTGTTTGACTGTCACACTTATAAAGCAACCACGGACCTTCAGATCCACAGCCCTACTCTTTTAGACTGAATAAAAATTCATAAATAAACAGAAGTGGGCAACAGCATACGAGTTTTTTGTTTAACAATCATTTTATGTTAATTTTATATTGCTTTGTATGTTGTGATTTGGTTAACAATAGATCATCACGTGAGTTTCTGCTGCTAACTTACTTTGTAACGAAACAAACGGGAATTTACCTCCTACGAACAATGTCACGTGCTTTGCACGAGCAAGTAGGCCACACTGTCCAAAACGATGGTATTGTTAACAGGTACATTAATTTACGCTGGAAATCTGTAATTTAGGGATTAAAGAAACCATTGTACTAAATTGATTATACGTGCCACCTACAGACGATACCAGAAACTAAGAGCTCTTCCCAGTAATGTGTTTTGTAGCAACCTTAAACTAATACTGCTGTCTCGTCATCAATCTGTTGTTTTACACTTTCAGATAAGCCCAAATAAAGTCGCACACATATATATAGATAAAATAAACACGAAAGTACAAATTACAAAGTGACAATAGTAAACATCTGTAAGATTGAACCTTGCTTGCAAAATCAGTTTATAATTAAGCACTTGGAAACAATGTCGAGGATATGGTGTTCGACATTTAAAACTAACATTCACCTTCTATAGCTTGTTGTGAGAAGATAGCTACTCTTAAAGTAATAGTAAAATAATGAAATATAAACAAAACAAAACAATAACTTAAGAAACAAACTGCCATACAGCCATAGGGTTAACAAAATAAGAAACCGTAAAATTTAGTTGTTGTTTTTGAATCAGAATTCACACATTGTAAATAAACTCGGGTCCCAATATTCTCTAATGACGTAAATTGGTTTACCTCAATTTTATGACAGAGTTAAATTACAGTTTGTTGTTTTTTAAATACAGAAATATTGCGTACATTTTCTAGAATGTGTGATACCTATATCGCATGTCATATAACTCAGTGATGTAGAAATGACTCATGTCCAAGATTTCTGGTATCTTAATTGTTGAGTAGGTTATATTAAAATGATTTTGAACATTTAAATCAGCAACTCGTGTGACAACCACAGCGGACATAAAGTCTCGATGTAACAGAATGTATCAGCACTAAACTTTGATATTGTTTAGAGGCGTGTAGATAGTGTGATACCAATGAAAACCGGTAGCTTTTGGGAAGGGCATGTTACAGCTCTTTCGAACTCAAAATATTCATATTCTCAAAACATAACGAAGTATATAGATCGGGAATTTAGAATTTCAAAGATGGGAATATCTCTCATACTTAATGGCATCGGAAAACAAAGGAATATTGATCAACTTGGGACACCATGGTCATCTAGAAAAAGACCTGAAACAAGTCGTACCTCATCAGTGGTAAGAAGAGTTTGGCGTCTTGTAACAGGTGAGAATCGACGAAGGCTACTGGTAAAAGCTGTATGCTGTACTAGGCAAGATTAAACAAAAAATAAAAAAGGATCTCCGTCTGGAAAAGCGAAACAAATCACGTGTGCACGAGTAGTTTCAACGACATATTTATTCAACCGTTTCAAACCTTAAGTAGATGAAGAATAAATGATTATTCATTCTATTCCATACAAAGACATACCTCTCAAGTTGTCGAACGAAATACCTATGTATTTCTGTGCGATCGGATTGTGAAAAGGGCGCTAGAAAACGGTTGCCCGCGTACACAAGATGACTCATAGAAAGTACACAAGGGGGGAAGGGTGTGCTTTAGAAATGACAGCCTTACGACAGGGCCTTCTGTAACAGAAACAACGATGCATAACTATTGGCTAAATACACGATCGTCAGATAGATCATGACCGGACTTGGCGAAATGGCCTCGAACGACGTGGTGAGGCTCCAAAATTGTTTTAGCGAAACATATTCAGCCTTTGTAAATATATTTTTTTAAACGTACAATAAATTAATCATAACTACAAAGACTAATAAGTTATTAATATTGCCAACAATGCAAAACATATTACAGTACACGTGTGGTGGCTTTAGTTATCTTTTACTCAACATAGTGAATATGCTACATATGTGAATATAGGTTCATTTTTGTGAATAAAAGAGAACTGAAAACATACAAATAGCATACAGTCAGTTCCATTCTATATAGAGCCTGGTTTTTCGAATTACCCTAGTCTAGGGTTATTGATGAGGAGGATGCAATTCATCGAAACCGCTATATGTCTGTGACAAGTGGTGAATCGAAGGACAGATTGTGTTTGATTCTTAATTTTTAATGTAAAGAATATTTACCAATGTAATACTTTTCCTTCCAATTATTTGCTTAGAAACATTTCTAAGAATATTTTTTGAAAGGCTAAAAATGACTATTTCTCAAAACAATGGGACAAATTATTTCCAACTTGGTGAAACAACAGATTTTGAAAAACAGTTAGTATTCACAACTAAAATATAGCAATGTTTTGTTGACACGACAAACAATTAGTGTCCACAGCTAAAGGAAAGCACTGCTTTGTTGAGACGACAAACAATTAGGGTCCACAGCTAAAGGAAAGCACTGCTTTGTTGACACGACAATTAGTATTCACAACTAAAATATAGCAATGCTTTGTTGAGACGACAAACAATTAGTGTCCACAGCTAAAGGAAAGCACTGCTTTGTTGAGACGACAAACAATTAGGGTCCACAGCTAAAGGAAAGCACTGCTTTGTTGACACGACAATTAGTATTCACAACTAAAATATAGCAATGCTTTGTTGAGACGACAAACAATTAGTGTCCACAGCTAAAGGAAAGCACTGCTTTGTTGAGACGACAAATAATTAGTTTTCACAATTAAAGTATAGCAATGCTTTGTTGACACAACAAATAATTAGTGTCCACAGCTAAAGGAAAGCACTGCTTTGTTGATACGACAAACAATTAGTTTTCACAATTAAAGTATAGCAATGCTTTGTTGACACAACAAATAATTAGTGTCCACAGCTAAAGGAAAGCACTGCTTTGTTGATACGACAAACAATTAGTGTCCACAACTAAAGTAAAGCACTGCTTTGTTGACAAGACAAACAATTATTGTCCATAACTAAGGTAAAGCAATGCTTTGTTGGCACTACAAACAGTTAGTGTCCACAGCTAAAGTAAAGCACTACTTTGTTAAAACAACAAACAATAAGTGTCCACAACAAAATTGATGTACTGCTTTGTTGACACGATAAACAGTTAGTGTCCACAGCTAAAGTAAAGCACTACTTTGTTAAAACAACAAACAATAAGTGTCCACAACAAAATTGATGTACTGCTTTGTTGACACGATAAACAGTTAGTGTCCACAAATAAAGTAAAGCACTGCTTTGTTAAAACAACAAACAATAAGTGTCCACAAGTAAAGTAAAGCACCGCCTTGTTGACACGATAAACAATTAGTGTCCACAAGTAAAGTAAAGCACCGATTTCTTGTTGACATTAAATAAATCTATAATTTTACTTGATGAAGCATGTTTTAAAATTTTTAAATATTTACTCCCTTAAAAACGACACGAGACAGACCTATATATGCAGAACAAATTATATTAAATACCTGGGATAAAGAAACTGGGAACATGATTATATACAATACAAATGTGTAAGCATTTTACAACTCACATGTTAAACTGGTTTCTGCAGAAGAGGCGAATGATCGAATGGGGTAGTCTAGAATCCCCCCCCCCCGGACGGACTTGAATCCCATCGATTATGCATGGGATCATGTATCCCGTCCACTCACGTGACTCAAGTCATTAAAGAAGTCACGAAAACAACTCTTTCAGAGGAGTGGCCGTGTTTACCTCAAGACCTTACCAACGCTCCGATTTGAAGGATGTAACATTGGTAAAATGTGTCACTGGTCTTGACGCAAAATGAAAGGAATTGTAAAAATGGAAAGCCAAAATATCCCAGTTGTTCATTTACGCATAAACTGAAGGACCAATATTTGCATTTCAATATAATGCATTACCTGATACTTGATTTGTATAACAATGGGGCGATTGACGATTTCTTAACATATTAGTAATAAAAGATTGATTAAATTGTGGCGTTAATGTATTAATCAACGGAATATCTTGTACAGATAAGAAGTTATAACTTAATGAAACTATTTGGGCTGCCAATCCTCTTACTCAATCTTTTACTGCAGATAGGTCTGAAATTGTTTTCCCTAAAAAAATTATATGATGTGTAATAGGGAAAAGATTAATCAAGATGAATGTGACACAGTATTTGTAAGAAAATAGGAATTATGTGACACAGTATTTGTAAGAAAATAGGAATTATAAACAAACTAAATTCATTACAGTTTGTCCACCTTCCGGGAGCTCATCGGTAAGCGGGAGGGCTTTATAACGCTAGAATTCAGGGTTCGATCCCTGTGATGGACACAACTCAGATAGCCCCTTTTGCGGCTTTGCGATAAACCAACCATTTAAACTCGTTCCTGTGAGGTTTAATACTAAAGAAAGTTATTTCTAACGTGAACCTTCCAACCCTAACTGTCAAGTTTAGATGTTTATTCTGGTTAAGAAGTTAGCACACAGGATCACCTACAAAAGTTATAATGTTTTCAAACAAGACCCAAAACTCGAACGCTTTCGAAAAGCTCACCATTGTTTTTCAGGAGAATATTCAACAACTCGAAAGCGCTCGAGTTTTTGTCTCGTTTGAAAACAAGTTTAGATGTCATTGTAGTTTGTAAGTTATTCCTTGTTTTATAGTTAACAAAGCCATGAAAATATACAATAAATCTATGGTTATAGTTTTGGCAAATTATAGCTGAATTGTAGTATTTAGTATAAAAAAAAATCACGCGCATGGAACCATCTCAAATATCATCCTATCAATACAATGTTAGTTCTAATATTAGAACAAGGACAAGACCTTCAGCTAAAGGTTACAAACATGATATCCAAGTCTCTTACCTCTCCATTCAGGTAGCAAAATATCAGAGCCACCAAGCAACCCTAATAATAGAAACAAATATTTGATTAGGTCCAATATGGCTGCCACGTATTTCTTATAAGCGACGAAGGTTTTTTTTTTTTCTTTTTATTAAGTTCAAATCTACGACGAAGCTAAAAATTGTTAAACAAAAATTTACAGAATTTCGTCAAAATCTTTAATAAAAGACTAACTTTTTTAGATTATGGAAAAAACAAAGCCTTTATAGATTCTCTCTGAAAGAAACCAAGTCTTCACAGGAAACTTAACAACGCGATTAAGCTAAAGTTTCATAAAAAAAAATGGTTTCCAGAAATTTAACTTACATGCATACCATGTCCACAGACTTTTTAAAATTAATACGAATTTTTAAAATATTTTTCTTCTATAATAACTTTAAAGAACGTCAATGATTTAACTAACAATACTTCTTTATAAAATACTAATAATACAATATACACGAGTATCCTTTTTTTATAAACAGGCATCTACGCTATGTTATACAATGTAAGTGGTGTATTTACACTTTAATAACACAATATACATCAAGTACCTCTTTTTTTTATAAACAGGCATCTACGCTATGTTATACAATGTAAGCGGTGTATTTACACTTTTATGGCAACTTTTCATATTTCAATATATTGCACTCTATTATTAGCGTTAACCTAAAGAAATGTTTCTAAGATAACTAGAAATATAAGTTCTGGATGTTATTAAGCACAAAGCTACTTAATGGGCTATCAATGCTATGTCCACTACGGGTGTCGAAATCCGTATATTAGTGTCATAAACCTGCCGAGCCACTGGGTGGTGGGGTGGGAGGGTTTGCGGAAGTAAAAAAAAAATACAAACATATACATATATATAGTAGAATAACCCCAAAGAAAAAAACCCAAACTAAGTACAATTTGTTCTCTCCTCCTCTCAGTAGCTCAGCGGTAAAGTTCAGGGCAGGGTTAATAACGTTAGAACTGGGGGTTCGATCCACACTGAGGACATAAAGCAGAAAGCCCATTTTACAGCTTTGCGATAAAACAAATTATCACCACTAATTATATAATTTCTGTAGTACATATTGGTGTATAGAAGACATATTAATACTAAAAATAACCGACCTTATAAAGAGAAATGCTACACTTTATTTTTACCTGCAAGCCGTCCATAGCGTAACTCAAGTAGAAATAAGCTTCAATCCATCCACAACTACCACTATCTGGCCTGTAGATGACCAGAGTAAAGTGGAGCCCAAACAAAGGAACCAGAACCAACGTAGCTCGTACAGCCTTTCTGTGTGTGTACATACATACATATATAACATTCTGTTCTTAACATATGTTAAACTGAAAGGTATGTTAATAAAAATGACAATACGTACCATCTACAGAGCTGTCATTAGCTCACTAATCAGTTAATCTTAAAAGTTAAAAAATATGGAATAAACAAACGGAGACAAACCTAGCTTATGAATGCTAGTTGTGCCTAGAAAAAAAAATATAAGAACACCAGAAAATCTGTTCCAAGTGTTGTAAGCATGTAAGATACACGATACACTCGCGCTTAAAATGAACCGAGTTTTGTTAGGATACCTTAATACATTGTTGTTATACGAAATAAAACATATCTTAGTACATTGCATAGTAGGGTGTCTCCAGTTGTGTCCTTCGTCTGAAATTGCTGAATTTTTCTTTAAATACTGCATGGTACTAAGTCTTAAGTTTCGTCACTTCAGGTAATTTGAATAACTAATTCAAATAATTATACATTTCCCGCATCACAATGACTAACCCTAAACTGGGTCCTTGAAGCCTGAACTTTCTGGGTGACACACGGTGACCTATTTTCTTTGTTCTATTTTCACCGATGATTTCAAGCAACAGAAGAAATACACAGCAGTCATATCATCAAATATTCTATAAATGTAAGTATATGTTGGTATCATTATTAATTGAATCATCAAAGATGCTACAAATGTAAGTAAGTGTTGGTATCATTATTAACTGGATCATCAAAGATGCTACAAATGTAAGTAAGTGTTGGTATCATTATTAACTGGATCATCAAAGATGCTACAAATGTAAGTAAGTGTTGGTATCATTATTAACTGGATCATCAAAGATGCTACAAATGTAAGTAAGTGTTGGTATCATTATTAACTGGATCATCAATAATGCTACAAATGTAAGTACGTGTTGGTATCGTTATTAACTCGATCATCAAAAATCCTACAAATGTAAGTAAGTGTTGGTATCATTATTAACTGGCTTGCGAAGGCTTGATGAAGTGTAAGAGGTACGTTATTAGACAATATGAGACCTCCATTAAATCAAAAGTCACAATCTCACGTGTTTTCAAGTCGAGGTCACATTCTAAGCTTCCAGTACTGAGCATGAAACTAACATATAAATGCCAGTACCTCATCCTGTAACAGATTCTCTTGATGCAAACAACACAGATAACACATCAAAATAACACAAGTAAACATTTAATATATCCAGCACATCTAAGATATAGATAAACTAAAATATTACTTCATATTTCTTATATTTGAAGTCTACACCCTAAAAAAACACAAACAACAGAGAATGTAATACAACATCACGGAGTCTAATAAAAATAGTAATTAAATTAAAATATTTTATATTATCATTAGTTACAATCTTTCGCATACGACATTAACATCAGACGTAATATTTTGCTCAGGAAAGTAAGTTACAAGTTATCCTGAGAGTAATTAAAACTACTTAGTTTGAAAAAAAAAACTATAACCCTAACACAACTTTCAACAATCGACACTTTACTGTACCCTATCGTGTTACATACAATTATGTACGTCAATATGTTCACTAATCGACAGTATGCTCCTACCTGAACTGACTTGGCTCATTTGTGTGGGCTGCTCGTAGCTTCGTCACAAGAACACGGATGATGTTACATAGGAAAGCCAAATTCAACTAAAATCGAAACCAAAACCGTATAAGCACGAATTCTCTTTCGCATTGAAGGTCATGAATGAAGCGACACCTTACGATTAATTAGAAAATAAAGTCATTAAAACTAACAGAGTTATGTTTTTTTATCGTTATACCTAGATTTCCTAGAACCAAACAAAAAAAGAAAACATATAAACTTTGATTTCTCTGCTTGTAGATGTTTGTTTTACTGTGCTTTGCGCAAGGCTGTTCGAAAGCTACCTGCGTTTGACGTCCTTAATTTTGAAATGAAAGATGAGAGGAATCAACACCCCACACTGCACACTCTGGAGTTATTTTTTACCAACGAATAGTGGAATTGAATCAAACATTATATTGCCCGGCATGGCCAGGTGGTTAGGGCACTCGACTCACAATCTGAGGGTCGCGGGTTCGAATCCCCGAGCCACCAAACAGGCTCGCCTTTTCAGCCGTGGGGACGTTATAATGTGACGGTCAATCCCACTATTCGTTGGTAAAAGAGTAGTCCAAGAGTTGGCGGTGGGTGGTGAGGACTAGCTGCCTTCCCTCTAGTCTTACACTGCTAAATTAGGGACGGCTAGCGCAGATAGCCCTCGTGTAGCTTTGCGCGAAATTCAAAACAAACAAGCATACATTATAACACCTATACCGAGCATGATCGGGAGGAATCGAATCCCGCGGCCCGCATCTTATTATTATTATTATTACTTGTGTGTGGTAACAAGGTGCGAACCACGCAATCTAAGATCCACAGTCCAGCACATTAATCACTAGGCCGCGTTCTGTCCTTTTTAAAGTGAAGACTGAACGTTTAAAGTACTGTTTTATGAGCTGGTTGCGATAAAATATGACTAGAACTAGGTTAGTGTATATATATATATATAACAGTAAAGCTCGTTAGGAACTGTCTGAATTAATACCACTCTAGGCACTGAAATTTACAACCTGAACAGGGCATTATGCACAAATAGGCAAAATGACCAGGACTTTAGAATTCAGATATAGCCATCTATAATTTTTAACTACTGAGCAGTAAAAAGGCAGTCAGCTAGCAGCAGCAGCCGTCACGAGGGTGTTGTCCGGCTCATTTTAACCCAATAACAAGATTCAATGTAATTTTTATATCGCGCCCAAAGTCGAAAGTGTAGAGCATGTTCAGAAGCATCACATTTCGAACAGTAACCTTACACATACGGTGTAATAATATCACAGTAAGTTTGTTGGTGATGTGCCTCAATCAAAACAAGTACTGTGTAATAATATCACAGTAAATTTATTAGTGATTTGCCTCAGTATGGTAAAGTTACTTATCATGAGAGTTCCAACTCCATTTTGAAATTCTGACTGTGTTTGATTTGTTTCAGCTCAAAGCCATGCATCGGGCTATCTGAGCTCTGTCAACCATAGGGAAAGAACTCCGGATTTTAGTGTTAGAAGCTTGTAAACTTGCCGTTAACCCACCGGGAGGACTGAAGTTCTCAACCTTGATTATTACTTAAGTTGCAGTCTTATATGTTTACACGAGAAGTGAATACAAAAGTTATCAAGTTTATTATAAAATGTGTGTAATTATAAGAACGATAATATTTTTTCTCATGTGCAATACTTTGGCTGTTTGCAAAAAAAACAAAAAACAAAGTAGAATTCACGCGATTTTAAAATAAAATCGAATAATTAACTTAGAAAATTCAGCTTAGCAAGTTGAGACGGGTTCACAACTATCGGTTTTTCTTGTCTATAACACTATTAGCATTACATAAAAACACTGAGTAGAACGTTAGTTAAGTGTGAAAAACTAGTTAGGTAATTAGGATCTTTGTCTTCTGAAAACTTTTCCACAAAAGCGGACTGAAGTTTTTAGATTTTTCTTCTCTGTGTTCTTACTAGGAACTTATGGTCTATAACATTTTTTTTGTAAGCTTATTTTTGGAATGAATCCTTCATTATTATATTTCATCCCTCATATATATTTTGCTCTTTTCTCGAGGCGTTCTACACGATCGCTCCAAATCCACACAGATTGTCCACATGCAATACAGGTTTTATTTGTCATTACACACCGTTGTTGATATTACTACAATTATACTCGAAACCTAGTCTGTTTATTTGCTTTAGAATTTTCACGCAAAATGTAAAAAAAGGGCACTCTGCGCATATCCGCCTTAATTTTAAATTAGGTTGTTTGTTTGTTTTGGATTTTCGTGCAAAGTTACATAAGGACCACCTGCTCAAGCCGCCTCTAGTTTTGAACAGGTAGACTAAGAGCGAAGACAGCTAGCTAATCAACGAATCCGCCGCCATCTTTAGGCTACTTTAATCGAATAATCCGAATAATCGGATTAGACCGCCAGTTATATAACGCATCCATCTTATAACGTGGAGCGCGTTTTTGCAGCAAATGGATGCGAACCACGAAGTCTGGGATCTACAATCCGGCCACGCTAACCACTGGTCACGCTCCCTCCCATAGTCTACTAATTTTGAAATTGAAACTCATACCCAATGTAACATTGTTGAAAGAAAACACTGCAAATGCTCGTACCATAAGTTACAACGCTTTAAGACTCTATTTTGAGGCAAAGATTCAATAAATTAATTTGAAAAATTAGTAATTTTTCCATTAATCAGAGAGATCGTTAGTATTTTTTTTTTGCAAATATTTTGGGTTCAAGAGGCAAAGTCCCCTGGCGACTCTTGGGTTTTGTACTTTAACGAACTTTAACTTTAAGAAAAGAGATTTTAGTGACCATCGGTATATATATATATATATATATTCTTCTTTTCATATATGGCAAATACGGCACTTCTAGTAAAGATCAAAGTTGACGCCTGTGGAATAGTTTTTGATGACCTTTAACTAAAATTTTTATGAGATTGAAATAATAACTATCCCGATATATATATATATATATTGCCTTGAGTAACAGCTGGAATAATAACGGTGAAAGATAAAACCACCACCACCAACAACTCATTATTTCCGAAGCTCGTCTTGATAAAAGTGATGTTTTCTTATACAGGCATATTGCTGACCATTGTTCTTTGTGACAAGTTTCATGTCTTTATTGGCTCTTACTGTCATGAATGACATTGGTATGAGAAGATATTGATTCATTTACTGGGAATAAAAGTAAGAAACGATCACGTTTAATACGTTGAATAGACCAAGAATCTTCAACATCAAGCTCGGGGATATTACTACGAGTGAATCTATCTTTTATAAATTGTTCTTGCGATGTATGTCCTGTTGTTTTGTGAGAATATTCTAACTTTAGTTCCAACGTTTATGTTTTGAAGCGAAAATAGATTGATCAGCTGTTCCAAAACAAATTAATGAATCAAAACCTCAATACTAAAGTCTTAAAAAACCTACTAACCATCGAACAATAATTTATTCCTCAAATCGTATGAAATAAAAACAAGTCTAAACAGCAGATACAAAATTAAGAAACTTGTTATTAGACTGAATGAACAAGTTATAAATTAGAGCTTAAATAATAATATGGCTAACATTAATGTGCATATTAAAATGCAAAATTTACTAACAGAATGTACAGAAATACAAAGCAACTGAGGTGCCTCAGAAAAATGAAACAATAAGTTATCTCCTCAAGAAGCCTGAGCAGACTCGTGAGATTTACAAAAATTATAATCATTTTTCAAACTACAGAACTCACCAACAGACTCAGCAGATTTGGAGTATTCATAATCCATTCATACCTCTCCTCCGGGATGGCCCAGCAGCTGTGAAAACCAAATTTATTTATTTTTTAAATAGAGTATGTTTGCCATTCATGTCAATAAAACTGATAAATAGTTTTCGTACTTTAACTGCCTCAACCTAATAATACTATAATAAAATCCAAGAACGGTTTTAACTTTAAGATAACGCTTCTATTTTTTTTTCTAAAGAAGCGATACTTTTTTTCTCAGAGAAATAAACTCCAAGTCATGATATAGGCAGAGCTTAGCTCATCCAAGAAAATACAGCAGGCAAGGGAGTCAACCAATCATAAGTCTTACTGCAGCTGCCATGGTATTCAATAATTGCACTAAAAATATTCAATATCGTTTATTTTTGATGGCTCTTCTAGATCAGATGTTTAATCACAATGCGGTATCAACTGAAAGATATTAAACTCTTGAATATAAGTAAGTCTTAACGATACAACTGTTTGTGTTATACGTTTTAAAAAGCAAGATACGCTACATGGAAAAAAGCGCGGCACTTGAAATTCTTTTAGGCAAGATTAGAGTAAATTAATATATAAGGCTTTTATTTTCTTTTTATTATCTGTATTTTTGTGCGCCAACAACACCAAGCGTGGGGAGCACGTATACCCGATTCGATTTTATTTTCTCATCACGATATCTACCAGCCTACCCTCAAACTGAAATTCTTTTAGGCAGGATTATAGTAAATTATTCTATGAGCCGCTGTGCCGCAGTTAAAAATATTCATCGTTTTTTGGTTCCTTAAATTCGGATGACCTTTACAAACACTATATAGCATCATGTTAATAGGATTAAATATTTTTGTGTCTGTTTATTTTGAGAACGTTGTTAGAAAATTATTTAACCGAAATATATTATTTAATAACAAAATTCATTTAGTTTCGGGCTTCCTTTCTTCCATCAATAAGTGAAACATTATTATAAGAGACTCATCAAGGTCTGTGATTATTGTGAATGTACTTCAAACTTGCTGAAAATTGAAGGTTATGGTAAAACTCATCAAAAATTTAATAATGTATTAATGGCGATCTGTATCTGCTATTTCATATATTTTATGATATTTAGCTATTTTTGCCACTGACAAAAGATTTCTCCACGTTACCGAATTTGGTAGGGATTTAGTAAAAGAATAAAATAAGGTGGCTTCAGATTACAGGATTAACAAGTAGCAAGTAGGAGTTAATAAACATAAACTTTCTTCACATTCCAGGATGAGAAGAACAGGCGTATTAACACTTGTATTACTTCAGTGTATGATTGATCAGAAGGAAGGTAACAAATGAATGGCAGAATAGGGACGTATATAATATAAGCATCAAGATTAGTTAGGTCATCATATGGCAGAATAGGGACGTATATAATACAAGCATCAAGATTAATTAGGCCATCATATGGCAGAATAGGGACGTATATAATACAAGCATCAAGATTAGTTAGGCCATCATATGGCAAAATAGGGACGTATAAAATACAAGCATCAAGATTAGTTAGGCCATCATATGGCAGAATAGAGACGTATATAATACAAGCATCAAGATTAGTTAGGCCATCATATGGCAGAATAGATACGTATATAATACAAGCATCAAGATTAATTACGCCATCACATGGTATTGTAGGGGCGTATAAAATACAAGCGTCAATACTATATAGGCCATCTTATGGCAAAACAGAGACGTATATAATACAAGCATCAAGATTAATTACGCCATCATATGGCAGAATAGGGACATATA